GGTGGGTGGGTGGGTGGGTCGGGGCCCCAGCCAAGCAGAGCCCTGGCCCCCTGGCAGCGAGGCCCGGCGAGCTGGTGCTGGACCACATCGTCGAGCGCAAACGGCTGGACGACCTGTGCAGCAGCATCATCGATGGCCGCTTCCGCGAGCAGAAGGTTGGCACCACCCCCCACCAGGGCCGGCTCCTAGGTGGGGTCATAGCTTCAGGAGGGCTGCTCTGGGGCAACCCTGGGACCTCCCTGGTCCCTGGAGTGTACAGGGGTGCAGTGCTGGGCCGAAATGCCAGGGAAGACCTCTAGGTCGGCAGGCCCTGCAGTCTTGGGCAGACAGCGGGCAGCAGAGCCCACAGCTCAGGCCCAAGCCACGACCTGAGCAGGGGCAGGGTAGTGGCTGCCTTGCAGTGAACGGGGACGTTGGGGATAGGGAGGGAGAGGCCTAACAGGGGACCAGAACCACGTCCCTGCCCCCTCCCCAGTTCAGGCTGAAGCGGTGTGGCCTGGGGCACCTGGTCTACCTGGTGGAGGAGCACGGCTCTGCCCGCAACCTCAGCCTTCCGGAGAGCACCCTGCTGCAGGCTGTCACCAACACACAGGTGAGCCCCCCCCGGGCAGGGCCAGGTGACTCAAGCCTGCGGGCTGTGCCCAGAGCCCCCACCCTTTCTGAGCCCCCCTCCAGGTCATCGATGGATTCTTCGTGAAGCGCACGGCGGACATCAAGGAGTCGGCCGCCTACCTGGCCCTCTTGACTAAAGGCCTGCAGACGCTGCACCAGGTGAGCAGAGGGCCAGCCCTCACCTGGGCCCCTCATTCCCCTCAGGAGGGGAGTGGGTGAGACCCCCGTTCTCAGGCTGGTCCCAGAGGCCAAGATAAAGCTGAGGGTGTCCCCCAAACCTTGGCCTAGCCTCAGCCCTTTCTCCTCAGGGCCACACCCTCCGCAGCCGCCCCTGGGGAACCCCAGGCCACCCTGGACCAGAGGCAGGGCCCTCCCCAAACCCTCTCTGCTCACTGCTCACCTTCAGCGACTTCAACACCGGGGCGATGAAGAACAAGGTACGTGCCTTGGTCTGCTTCCCCCAAACTTGGCCGCCCCCAGGCTGCCCACTCCTCCTGAGCCTGTACCCTCACTGCCCCCAGGCCCAGTCTGTCCGGGAGGTATTTGCCCGGCAACTGATGCAGGTTCGAGGCGTGAGCGGGGAAAAGGCAGCCGCCGTGGTGGACCGATACAGCACCCCTGCCAGGTGAGCCACCCCCCAACCCCATCTAGGACCCCTGCTGGTAATTCAGTTCAACAGTGCACTATGGGGGAGCCTGGACAGGAATGGGTGACCTGGCCGAACACAGGGGTGATCAGGGCAGGGGAGAGACAGTAGCAGCCAGGACTGACCATGGCCTAGACCTTGGGGGAGGCCACCAGCGAGTGGGAGCAGGTTCCTGGGGGAAGCTGGTCCCGCTGGCTCAGTTAAGAATGCCCAGTGGTGGGCAACGTCTTATGCAGGGAGCTTTCGGCCCCTTTGCCGGTCTTATCCCTGCACACCTGTAGGCAGACAAGGTTCTGATAGGTTGGGGCAGCTTTGAGTGTCAGACTCAGGACATGAGGCATTGATCCCGGTCCCTGAACCCACATGGAGAGCCCTTCCTGCCCCCGTGCCCATGGTGCTGGCCTGGAGCCAGGTTCCCAGTGGGTCAAATCTCAGAATCACACTGCCCCCCACCCCCCAGCCTCCTGGCCGCCTATGACGCCTGTCAAACGCCTAAGGAGCAGGAGTCCCTACTGAGCACCATCAAGTGTGGGCGGCTACAGAGGTGAGGCCAGTCCCGCACCTGGAGGGTATGGCAGGGGCTGGGGCTGCCCCGAGACTCAGTGTGACCCCACTGGCCTTTCCCCTGCAGGAATCTGGGCCCCGTGCTGAGTAGAACCTTGTCCCAGCTCTACTGTACCTGTGGTCCCCTGGGCTGAGCCCATACCCCGAGACGAGGCCCTGGCCTCGTCCCCGCCTTCTACCTGGCTGCTAGCCGGCCCTTCAACCAGAACCTCTGGCCTCTAATAAAAGTCCTAAGTGCTTGCAGCTGTGTGTGTAAGCAAGTTGCAGTGCTTGACCCCAGGAACCTGGCCCCCACCTGGCCCGGGCTCAGACCAAGTTCCCCAGGCCCTTGGAGCACCGCGTTGCTCCAAGGTGAGTCTGCGCACACTGCCAGTCGGCACCAGTTTATGTCACCAGGCCTCTGCCCTCTGTGAAGAAGTTCTGCCGTTGAAAGAGCAAAGTCTGGAGACCGCTTCCAGTCCAGTCACCTCATTTTATGGGTGGGAAACAGGCCCAGGGAACGCGCAGGGCTGATCCAAATTGGTAGTTCCAGGCCAAACTGGGCCTGGAGCCAGGGTCCCCTGGCACTGCCCACTGCAGGGGTGTCCCAGTATAGCAATCAGGCCCCAGTCACGGACGGAGGCCTCATCACCTCCTCCTAGCAGAGCAATTCTGATGCTGGGGTGCAGAGACTGAGTCTGGCCTTGGAGTGGGGTTCCCAGTTCCCAAAATGGGGCCTACTCAGCCTGAGCACAGAGCCTCACCCCAATCTGAGGTCACTACAGTGTTGCCCACCCGCTTCAGCCCCCAAGACACCCTCTTTCTCCTTTCATTGCCTACCTTTCTCTGCCCCCTCATAACATCGGCATCCTTCCTAGCAGAAGGCAATCCTCCCTGAACCCCGGACTCATCCCTCCACTCCCTGAGGGTCCCCGGCCCCCTCAGAAGGTATAGGCCCCCACGAAGACGGTGAGTCTCAGCACAGAGCTGGCCCGGTAGCTCATGAGGGAGTTCATGGTGACCATCTCCAGGTCCAGCACATACTCCCGGGGGCCCGTCACAGGCCGGGCGAGGACCAGCATGGCACTGACGTTGTTGATTTGCTGCAGGGGCAGGGGGAAGACACGACGCTGTATCAGATTGGGTGCTGGGCCCCTAACCCAGAATCACTCCTGGCTCCCTTGGCCAGGAGGGAGCAAGAGCCAAGGTCCAGGTGTGACACCTGTCTGGGTCCTGCCTGGTCCCCCACCACACACACACACAGTTGCCAACTGCTCTTTGATCTAGCCAGGGTTACCGATGGGACAGGTGTGAAACTTGGGAATGATTGGGGCTATTGCGGACGCCCCCTCACAGCATTCCATTTCAAAAACAACGAGCCTGGTGGATACCAGGCAGACCCATTCACCAGCTGGATACAGGGTGACGGCTCTTGGGTTGGAGGCCCTGGCACACCTCTGCCCTCACCATGGGCCCATCCTGCCTCACAGGTCCACCAGCAGAGAGTTGGCCCCGCTGACCCAATCCAGGAGGTTTGACTCCACTGGGCCATCTTTCCTGAGTCTCTGAAGGCCTCCCAGGCCGCTGGCTGAGGAGAGCACGCTGAGGCCAGATGGGGGTGCCAGTGCAAACTCAAACAGCCTCTGACATGCTCTAGTTTGTACCATGGGAATCTCACCACCCACACAGTGCAGACCTACAGACGGGAGACGGCCAGATCAGGCACTCCAGGAGCTCACAGCCCAGCGGGTGACCACAGGCATTCTGTTTTCCCTAACCAAACTGCTAACATTGAGTAGATTCCAACTCTGAGCCCCAGCCCCTAGGACTGGGTAGAACGCCCGTGTGGATCTTTACAAGAGCAACTTCTTGCCTTTCTCCCACGGAGCAGCTGATGGTTCTTAACCACTGACCTTGTTGCTGCCCAACACGTAACCAGCCCACTTGGCCACGGCCACTAGAGCAGTGGTTCTTAACCTGTGGGGGTCCAATGCCCTTTTCACATGGGTCGCCCCCCGATTCATAACAGTAGCAAAATGACAGTGATGACATAGCAACCGAAATAATGCGGTAGGTTGAGAACCGCTGCACTGGAGCTAGGGAGCGGTTCACCCGGAGAAGGGCGGGGCTTTACCAGGAGACCAAGACCACGTCCAGCACGTAGGGCTTCCAGGAATTAAAGGGTGGGGTTTGCGCGTCAACTTCAGGGTGGGCCTGGCAGAAGCCTTACCCGAATGTAGAAGTCCCCCTGTGCGTTTCCGGCGCGGATCTGAAAGGCGTTGTAGGCGCCCGGGTAGACCGACGTCGCCTGGATCTGGAACACGTCGGCGGGCACGCTCCGCTCGGAGGTGATGCTCATGTAGCGGTGCACGATGGACGAAGGCTGCTCGCGGCACAGGGCGTTGGAGGCCGGACACAGGCAGCGGCTGGGGACCCCAAGTTGAGGGGCGTGAATGAGGTCTAGCCCATCCCCCAAGTCTCGCCTACCCCCAAAAGAAGGGCACGACGGATCCTCGCGCCTGAACATGCATGTCATGAAGAACTACAAGTCCTATCAGCCCTCAGGGCCCCCTGCCAACTTGGATAGGCGCCAGTCAGCCTCAAAGCCCGCTGGGAGTTGTAGTTCCTCCGGGCCCCCTGCCCGCTAGGATAGGCGCCAGTCAGCCTCAAAG